ATTTTTAGTCAGAAAGAGATTTGGGTCCGAGAGTCTCACGGCATCATAGAGCACACTCTTACCGTGGATTTTGGGAGCAGTTCCACCAGGTGAAACCCAACATAACTAACATTTAATTCGCATAAATACAGAACTGGAATTCCTGAATCCTAGGTATTACACATTGCTTTAAATATAGCGAGTTGCAATTATTGATTCCAGTCCACGGAGAGCCTGGGAAAGGATCAGATTTCCACTTAGAGAATCAATCTTGTCTGTGAGTGTGTGTGAACACTGACATTTTTGGCCTCATGCAGTTTAGGATTTGCTATAAAGTAATTTTGAAAGCTATGGAAAACCAATAATGGTAAGCAATTTAGCTCTTAAGTGTAAAGCCACTGATAAAACAGAGATAACTGTAAGCTCTGAAGAAAAAAAGAGGTTACGGATATAAACAGTCTCTTTTGTCTTTGCAGTAAGAGAATTATTTCAGATGATGAAAAATTGAACAGGTTTTTTTGGTGTTCAGATCACTTGAGGTTTTACTGCTTTTGTTTGCCCTTAGAAGTTTTTTAGTCTCTTTTCTTTTTCTTTTTCTTTTTTTTTAAAAGGTGCTGTCCCTAGTCAAGTTATAAGGCAAGATATTTTATTGATTCAGAACTCTAATACATAGTATGGCCACTGTCATCACTGCAGCTTCGCAGCTACCATGGGTTGGACAACAGTCAAAGTGCACGGCGATGCACAACAGAGCCGGTCTCCTGACCTTATGACATACAGGACACTTTGGTTCTTGGGGTAAGAGATTACAAATGTAGCTTAGATGCTGCCTCACACACTTTGCATAATAAAACATTTATATGCTGTCAAGAAGAGGGTGTAAAGTCTAAGTCACACTGCAGACCGGCTGTTCTCAGCTGCTCCACTCGGGCAGGTGTGAGAGACAAGTTGTAGATATGCCACCAGTGAAAGCATATAAATGTGTCTGGTGCAAACGTTTTACAAGAGTATTATAAATGATTCAACAAGGGAGAGCAAGAAAGAGAGCAAGAGCTAAAGTGCAATTTTAAAATAATATAAATAATTGAAATGTAGAAATAAGATACTAATTAGTTGTAACTGCTTTTGTTTTATAGGCACAGTTTAGTTTTTATGTCTACAGATCAATCTTTTTCTCTTCTTCCCCCTCCAGTAATTTTCTCTGATGTATAATGGAGTTTCAATGGTCTAAGGAACACTGCTTAGTAAGAGGACAGAAGAGGCAATGATAAGGCAGTATAGTGCAACTCACTATGTGATATTAGAAACGAAACAAGGATGGGGTTAGATCTTCTCTGGTGATGTATAAAATCAGCCTTTAAAAAAAAAAGGAGAAAAAAAAAAAAAGACAGGCTTTCCAGTTATATGTTGACCAGTGCTTTCTAAAATGAGAAAGCACATTTTCCAAGACAAAGGAAACAACTGAAGGTTCATAATTTGTTCTGTTGTTACCAAAAAAAGGCAAAAAAAAGAGCAGATGCTGCTTTAAGGAAAACATTTAATTCTAGGAATTTATGTACAACTGACCTCAGCAAGCTTTTCCATCTTAGATGGATGACTTCTGCTTGAGACCCTGAAAGATTAAGATGCACACACACCTAGAGTAGTTTATTGCAAAACTAATATTGTAACTTAAAAAAACCCAAACAGATTCTGTACAAGAATACTGTTCAAATGGAATGTGTTAAAATATCAATTATTAATAAATACTTTATAAAATTCTATGTGAATACTAAATTAATAGATTCCTGTTTTAAAATTGCTTTGGTCCTCATGAATTTTCATAAATTCACTCTATATGCTTTTTTTAAAAAAAGGTATTAGCTGCTAAAAAGCACATTTTACCTAAACTAAGAGGCTAGTTTTCAACACTAAATATTGTTGCTTAAAAAAATATGAATCCTCAAAAGTTGGGCATTTGACAACAGTTATAGCTGGCTTGTTAGTTAACAGGACAGAGTCAGTTAACACACTAAATCCAGACGCACTGAGGCACTGAACCATTGACTTTCCACTATTCAGGAGATGGGCAGCAGACATTTAGCTTCATAGCAGGAATTAACTCCCAACAGCGTGAAATTCTCCATAAATCATCATCATCATCGTCGTCCTTATAAAACACACCATGATAGCACACAAACTACTTGTCTCCCACAGGCAGCGCTATGAATATGGCTTGCATAAATTGACTCAGGGAAAAGGGGGCTGGGGATGAAGGAACTGGATCACAGCATCGATTCTTTCCGATCAAAGTATTGCAGGTGTCCGTGGCTGAGATTTCCAACGGGTGACAGCAGATGCTGTCCACAGGAAGACCTCCTCGCTGCCCTGCTAGTGCCTGGGAAGTGGTCCGAGTTGTCCACCGGCAGCGGGACAGGGAGTGTCATGGAGCCCGGTGACGGGCTGCATTTGCCGGGCAGGAGGAAAGTGGAGCAGTCTCCAGTAGTAGATCGTGGAAAAGCAGGATTTCTCCTCGATGGAAAGAGCCCAGGAAGTGCATTTAGGAGTGACGTGCTTAGGAAGAGGCCGCTGCCACCGACAGCGCAGCAGAGGGACGTCTTGGGGACAGAGGGGCAGGGGCTTCTCCTGCAGCCCTTGATCAGGCAGCCCCCCCAGTGCCCAGCCGGACCGGCAGCTTGAGGAAAGGCTGCAGGGTCACTCCCCTGGAAAGCCAGAGCATTGTAATGTGGAAGTGAATCTGATGAATACTATAAGGTGCCTGGTACGGTTGGTCCTTTTACCGATGCTATAGCCGATATAAATATGCTGCATGTTGTCTTGGCCTGTGAACCTGCGACAGAGTTACAAGAAGCAATAGCAAATAGCTTTTCATCCTTTACTTATTTCCACATCACTAGCAAGGATTATACCTAAAGGCCAATAGTATAGAGAGGAGACATTTCATTGTAATTACACATTTAGGCCAACATGTGTGGTTGGCTTGCCTAGTTAGCATTAAAAAAAGAAATAATTGAGCTATATATAATACACATCAGTCAAACTGTCAGGTTGCTGAATTTAACAAAACTTAGGCAAGGTTTTTGTATTTTTTCTTTTTTTTTTTCTTTTTAATGTAGAGGCTTTCAGTTTAACAGCTAAATATTTTAATTGAGGAGACTGAATAAAATGAAGCTAAACCATAATTCTAGTGCAGTGTAGCTCAACTGGATATTCTAATATTACCAACAACTTTTTTATTTTTTTAATGTATTTAAGTGCTACCCATATGAGGAAAAGTTTTTTAAATTAACCCTGTGATGGCATTTTCTTTTTCATGGTGAATGATGAAATTCAGACACGGGAAATGCTTATTTGGTTGGGGTTTTTTTACACAGTGGATACTCAGCTGGAACATTTTGCTCAACTGCATATTTGAAAAAAGTTCCCTTGGGAGCTGTGATGAAGCAAAACCATTTAGCTATTACAACTGGAGGTTAAAAAAAATTATAGATTCAGTATTTAAAACACTTTAAAAGTATATGTTTGTCTAAAATATAATAGAAAATCCTTTATATTTGTATTTTTTCGTAATTTTTTTTTTGGTTCTTAGACTATATAATCAAGTCAAGATTTACACTGTACATTAAAAATCTTCTTCTTTTGAATGTATTTGCATAAATGGAAAGCGAGCTGTTAAAGAATACTGATAAAAAATTAGTTACCAAGATAAGAACTAATTTGGAAAGGAATGATCCCCAGAATTTTGCTTTCTCTTCCAGGCGGGCCCTGCTCCTTACAGTGCCTCACGCTTCGGTTGTTTCACTCTCCCTCCTGCATGGAGAAGAGCCACCCTTTTAAACTTCATAACTCCTCTAAAAACCAAAGATGCAGCCTTTGAGGAGGAGAACTTCACCTCAGAACAAAATGTGTGCAGGGCTAGAGGATTTGCCAGGAATAACGTGAATTAGCTTTTGCTTCTGAAAGATGCAGCTCAAAATGTTTGAACGTTTATCACCAGCTTGGAGCCCACTCCCTGGGTAAGCAGTGGGAGGTTTTGCCCACTGACAGACTTGAGAGCCAAATCAGGTCCCAGTGAACGGCAAGGCAGCGTAAATAACTGGCATCATCTCCATCTGATTTTCCCATCAATCACTGGAACCACTCAGGGATGCAAATCAACTGCGCTGAGGGGCAGGCTCAGAGTCCAAACAAAAACCTTAATTGTGGCATAAGGCTCTTTTCCAGACCCTCTTTGCTGGACTGAATTTTATCCAGAGTGCAGTGGGGTTTGCCATTCTTGCAGCTCTTTTTAGCGGCTGCATGCCTTCTAAAAATTATTTAGCGTCCTAATGAGACAATTCCTTACCTGCGGTAAACAGGCGTTAAGTGCCATTAAAGTCAGTGAAGCTACGCTACTGTCTGCCAGCTTGGGATTGGTCCATGGCTTAAAGGAATGCCTGCAGAGTGCAGGTCTTTCCTTGGGAATTAAAAATGGCATTTTTCCAACTGGTCAGAACTGTTACACTGATTTATTTCTCATTTATAGCCCGTGAAACCTGAGGCTGTTAGCTCTCGTTGCTAAAACAACGCAGCGGGGTTAGGGAACAGAATTTTTCTGAATTATTATATACTATATGGGTGTTTTTCTATGTTAACAACTGGCAGTGCAAAAGAATTGCTGTGATTCTCAGGTGTTGCTCGCTATGCCTGTACCGCACCACAGAAGCTTACAGGGCTGCTAGCATCAACACAGCTGGCTTTCAATTCTGCTTCACCTGGGGGTGCATTGCTTTTGCCTTTCGCTGTTTATTAAAAACACTAAATCAGGAGCATTTCTGGTCTTTAAAAGCCAAATGCTCAGTGCAGCCCAGCTGCGGGTGAGGAGCTAGTGAAAGCAGCGGCCATGCTGACAGTTTTTAGGTGGGTTTGAAGTTTTTGCTTGTTCATCACCGTTCTTCGAGAAAAGCAGAGGGAAGTGAGAAAGCCTTGAAATGAAAAAAAAAAAGGCAGGTAAAAAAAAAGCTGGAGGATGAAAAGGGTTTGGGAAGTGAAAAGGAAGGTGTAAGAAAAACTGGAGGAGAAGAAGGGCAGGGAAGGAAAGAGGCGCAAAGGGGGAGGGCTAAACAACAGAACGTGTTATTTGGGCTTGATTTTGTCCTGATAGCCACATCCTACATAACTGCTTTGAAAGAGGCTCTGAATGCAAGACAGAGTCTGCTGATAGCACAATGCTAACTCATTTTTTATTATGCTGTCAGCAGATGCCCTCTCTCTGTATTTATAGCCTAATTACTCCTAGTTACTTACATATGACTCTGTTTAATACTTTTCATACCTCACGTTGGCTAACAAGCTGCAGTTTAACACAACTCTGTATTTCTGAGGCTGCAGGCTAGATTGGTGAGAAGGAAACGTGACTATGTACAGAAACAGTTAGGTTTATAAACAAGTAATTGGTACCAAAAAAACTGGAGAAAGCACCAAAGCATTTCTCAAGCTGATAGCATATTAATTGCATAACTCCCTTTTATGTAACTAAGTATAAAAAGACATTTTTAATAACTATAAAAATGAAAGCCAGAGTCTTTCAAGAACTGAGGAATCTTCCAGGCTTGAGTTATGGTTGCAAATGTTCTTAGCACAGAGGACGCTTCGATACTGCTACCACGCTCCCCTAGCAAGTTTCTGACCAACCCCTTTTAAAGGATGGGGTTGATGTCTGTTCTGTGGCTGGCAAGCTGGGTGAGAGTGGAGCTGCCCACAACGTCGCTGACGGAGGAGGAGGTCGTGATGGTGTTGTGCTGGATGACCTGCTGCTGGGAGCACGCTGGGACCGGGCTGGCAGGAGGGCTGCTCTCAGGACCTGGGAAGGGGGTGAGGGCACAGAGACAACACACATTCATTTTGCCATCCGAGTAACAAGCCCAGGCTGGGTGACGCCCCTGGGAAAAGGATGTACCACTACGGCAGCAAAACTAAGAACCCAAGGCATGCACAAGTCCCAGGATGTCAAAATACACAGTTATCCAACACCCTCTGTCTTCTGATCTTCTGCAGGTTTTGGTATTTCTTTATTTTAAGCCAGCTTCTCTGATATCAACCTGACTTTAAGAGTTGGGACCTTGAAAAAAGCCCAAGACCTTAATGATTATGAAGCCAAAGTCGGGATAAAAGGTCTGGTATCTATAAAATCAGTTGGGATGTTTAAATGCTTTATTCACTCCAGCAGAAATCAAAATTAGAGTGCAATGCACTGCAGCACAGAAAATCTAATTCAAGCAACAGTTGATAGGCATGTAATGCAATTATGTATTTTTTGCTTTGAGTACTATTAAAGAACCAGATGCATAGTGATGCAGAGGAGACAGAAACGGGCTCTATTTTAAGAGAATGCTGCAATCTAGCAAATATTAACCCTGAGGCTCTTCTGAGCCATCCTAGAGCCAAGCAAAGAATTTGTCCCTAAATTACCACTCTCATAAAATGCATCAGCTAGACAGAATTGATTCAACATTTCCGTGAGATGAGAATTATTATTTTTTTAAATGAAAGATAAGAGTTAAAAAAGAGTTAACAAACCTTGAAAACCTGCGCCACGCCTGGTCTGCGCCAGTGTCAGAGCACAGCACCATTTTCGCTGGAGGGGACTGTAATGTTTTCCTTTTTAACTTTCCTTTTGAGAGATATTTAAAGGTTCTGGCAGCACTGCACCCAGGAGGACTCTTGCAGGTTTGGAGCTGTGAGTTCAAGCGGGATCCTCCACAGGGGAGCGAGCGTCCATCCGTGTGCATCTCCTTGCAGAAGGGAGGGGTGGGCAAGGCTAGCTCTGCTGTGTGGGATGCGAACCAGGGCTTTTTTGGGTTTTGGATAAATAGGGGTACGAGATCGGATGGCTCGATGATGTTTGAGAAGACAGGTTCAAGTGATAACATGGCCAAGAAGGGGTTCTGGAGGGAAGAATTAGGAACTTTGCTTGACTGTGAGGAGTGTGCAGACAGTGCAAACATATCAGCTACTTACTTAGATATCCTTGCGATTCTTTCTGCATAGCTGTTATCGGACAGTCTTTATGTGTTAGCAATAACTGTTTCAGCTGTGCTACCTCATTTTTCAGCATGGAAACTTCGTTCTAGAAAAGAAAGAGAGGGTTTGGTTTGCGACAAAGCTTAAACCAGGCTCTTCTGCAAAGTGTAAACCCAAGGATGCAGACACTGCACCACAACTTCAGAAGAACTGAGCAAAAATGGCACTCGGTGCTTGAGTGCTGGGTTTATGCTAACGTCCGTGACATTGTTTTATAACTTCTTCTAAAGGCAATTTGACTTCCAGATTTAATGACAAACTGAGAAGCAAACTAACCCTTCATAGCCCCAGAGATACTTTAGGCAGTGTTTTAATCTGCTCGGGAAATACTCTGGCTCTTCACATCAGTACAGGGGGCCAGATCAGTGAGGGGAAATGGCAGCCCACTGTGCTGTGCAGTGTAGTGGCAGGGTTGCTGTCACCTACAGCATGGCTCCTACATTTCTGCTATAGCCAGCACCTGGGTGCTGCTCACACCTCTGTGTTTCGGGGAAGTGCCATTACACAAATGGTTTTTCTGTTCTTGGCACCATGCACACACACATCTGGATGAGGCAGAAGTACTGTGCCCACTGTAAGAAGGGCACCACTATAAGAAAGGCTTTTATTGTATTAATTCAGGGTATTTTCATCCAACCACTTGTTTCCTTACTGGTACACTGATCTATTTGCAGTCCTATCTCCCTGGCTTTGAATGGGGGTTTAGCTACATGCCCTGCTCTGAAGAAGTCTTTTACAGCTGTGTTAATGGCACTTTCAAAACAAATCCCCGCAAAAAGCAGTGACAAGAAAAGAAAATAAATACAACTCCGTCTAGTGAAGGCTTCTAAATCCCAAGACAACTTTTTCCTGGCTTATCCCACTAAAATGCAATTATTTCTTTAATTGAAGCACACACATCTTGATTAATCGACTTTGATTATGCCTGTGCCCCTGCTAGGAGCCAGCTGTGTGGGGGCAGCCTCGAAGGTGGCGAAGGCCCGGCGGTACTGCCAGCCCCTCAGAGCACAAAGAGCCCCTCTGTGTCCTCGGGGGCGCAGACAGTGGCTCGCACCTGAAGCTGCATGTTTGTCTGGGTGAGCTCTTCTGCTTTCTTTTCCAGTGACATCACCCAGACCTTCCTCTTCTGTCTGCAGCGTGTGGCGGCAGCTCGGTTCCTTTCCAGAAATTTCCGCCTCCTCTCATCCGGGTCTTCGTCCACCACCCTCCCTCCGGTCGGGTGGGGCGGCTGTATCGTCTGCGTGGGCTGCATCTGCTGCGCCGCTGGCGAAACCTGGCAGGGGAGAAGAGGTTTGGCAGGGGGTAGTGAGGGAAGAAAGTTATGGAGGAGGATGCTGAAAGAGGAAGGGAAACCTCACATGCTCGTCCTGCTCCCTGTCGAGGTCTGCAATGGGCGCAAGTCAAGAAACTGCACCAGATGCCACTGAAATGAGCTGGTGGCAGATCCTTGCCATGGTCAAAGGGCAGATTTTTTTTTTAAATGATCCTTTGAATATTAGTAGGGAAAATATTTTTCCCCTTACGGTTATTACAAACATTTCACTTAGGTACTTTCTCTGCCACCACCTATTTCAAACCTGAGATGTCAAGTTTCTCTCAGTAACAGTTTCAATCAAAGCAGAGGACTGCAGGGCCCTTATTTCTGTCTCTCTCTCTCTTTTTTTTTCCCAATTGCCTCCAAAATTTTGGAACATTTCTATTTCACAGGCTCCTCTATCTCCGTCTCATGCTTTACCACCTTTGGAGATGGGAGCTGGGAAGCTGCGGGCTGGGATTGTGCAAGGCCAGGAGACCTTGGTGCCCCTCAGCCGGGGGCAAAAGAAAGGATTTAGGTACCTGTGTTTCAGAACAACAAAATTTGCATTTTGGTATCCTTGCACTGTGGGGACAAGGGATATTCCTCTTCTCAGGTGTTTTTGTTTGACCCCTGTGGATGCTGTATTCCCTCTTTTTCAGCAGCCTGACAGCAGAGGCACACTGCATCTAGTTCTACTGCTATGAAACTATAGAAAAGTAAGTGTTTATGTTTCTTGATGCTGCCACAGGGCTCTGGATTGTGCTTGGGGCTCCGGAGCCCATCCCAGGGCTCCCATTGCTCATCCCCAGCGGGAGCCGCTGATGCTGCTCACATTGCTCCCTCTGTTCCGGCACAGTCTGGAACAGTCTGGAAACCTGAACTGTTGACTCAAAATGAACCCTCTTGTTCTGGCAAAGGCTCAAACCTCCAAGGTGCTTCCTTTTGACTCCAGGGAGTGGACGTACTCAGCGCTTTGTCAGACTGAGCCCTGAATTTCAATTGCGGCAATTAACATATGTTTGCCTAACACCTCTGTCTGTCTCAATTAAAATGATACTATCGTCTTGCGAGATCGCTTTTCTGTCTAGAATCTTACCACAAACTGCAAATAAGAGTTTGCTCCCTCCCCTAGCTGACTTGTGTCCATTAAAGTGGCAATTTTAAGTGTAATTATTCTGTGCATCTGATAACTCTTTTTCCATAAAGCCAAACTTATTCCCAGCTTTATGTTGCACAGTCAGGGAATCTCTCTCGCAGGAGCAGAAAAACGTTTTTAAAAAATAACCGTCTAAAAATAAAAAAAACCACCCTGCACATTCTGACTGATTTTTAACATTTCAGTTGTATTCAGTCCATATGTTCACTGGTAAAAATCTCCAACCCTCTGTCCACACCGGGGCTTGGAGTCCCAGGGCTACGGCAGCTACCACTGTACCAGCATTTCCAGTGCCATGCAGGATCACCAGCCAGCACCACACAGGATCCCCGGCTGCTGTCCCTCTCCCTGCTAGCATCCCCAGTGCCACACAGGATCACCAGCCAGCACCACACAGGACTGCAGGCAGCTGTCCCTGTTCCTGCCAGCATCCCCAGGCTGCCTCCGGGAGATGACTGCCGAGGGATGCCAGCTGCTTCCCGCTCACTGGGGCCAGGCATGCTGCCTCTTTAGCAAGATGTCTGAGCGCAGAGGCCTCAGAGAGGGCTTTTAATGTCAACATCTCATCAAAGGCCTTTCATTTTCTCACATACAACACCTTTCAGGACTTCAGAGATCTGTTATTTATGTTTCTGGACACCAAACACTTTCCTTATCCCACTTCCCTCCTTTTCCATCCAGCATTGAAAATTCTTGTTAACTCTCTCAGTGGGGTCTGCTACACAGGCAGAAAAAGGTAGCTATAGATTTCTTTTTTCCTCTTTCCCCTGATATGGTAATCTTCTCCTGAAAACCTAGTGAGTCATTTTGTTTTCAGGATGTAGCAGTCAGTCTTTGGGCAGTCAGAGCACTTTTTCAGAACAACAGAATCTTCTCTCCATCTCTGTCAGATATTAATTGCGAAGGTTACCATTACATCACTAATAATGAACTGACTCTTACTAGATAGCTCTTAACTCTGAAATCTGTTAGGCTCTACCTCAGTAACTGTCTAAGCATCATTCTCTTGCAGGATTTTGCTGCCCTGCCTAGGACATACATGGTCTGATAAGAAAGACAATGAACATATATTAAAATTGAGGTTAATATGTATTTTTAGAGGATACTAATCACATACCCATATTGAAGACAAATGCAGGACAGCTAACAGAATGAAACAACATCCAAGCCCCTACTCTAGCAAGTTTGATAAGAAGAAAACTTCATGGGACCAACACAAGAATAAAAGTATCATTTTTGTAGTAGTTGAGGCAACACAGGTACAACTTGATAAAATCTCTCTCTTTCTCAGAAAGATATCTATAAGAAGATGATTTCTACTTTTATCCTTCATCCACTACTTCTGTCTTTGCAGCTAACCACAAAACTAATACCCATTCGCTCATTCTAGGAAAGCATAATTCATTGGGCTCCTGTGTATCAAAATGGTAGCTGAAAAGCATGGATTGAATTCTGACATTACAGAAGGGTGTAATGTAGACTAACAACAGTTTTGGCATGGCTCACAGTGGTGTGGACCATGCTGTCATTTGGCAGGTGGCTTGGAACAGAAGCGTTTGGCTCAGAAGAATAAGGAAGTTAATAATTAGTAAAATGCACCATAAAATTAATGTCTGCTGGAGAAATCTGACCACCAAAGAGGCCATTACCATGGGGACTATGGATAAGCTTAGAAAGTAATAACCATGAGATTACTACTCAGCAAACCCTTCTTTTCTCCCCACTAATGCATCTGTTCAGAAATCACTATTGCCTTTGCACCATGGGAGTAGCTGAGCAGCAAGAGCTCTGCTGCTTGGGGAAGCCGCTGACCATAGGAGTCCTGCTCAGCCTCGTCAGCATCACTCTCCATTCCTATCCTCTTGGTGACACTTGCACCTATGGTGAAGACCTCCTTGATCTCTGATGGGAGAGCATGTAAGTTAAGAGGAAGAGGTGGCTGCAGCACACTGCCTTATTGGCTGATGTCTTATCCTTAAACCTGGGAGGTTTGTTTTCTCTTGTAGCTGTTTTCTCCTCAGCTAATACGTGATATGGATGTTTTGCAGCAGTGCTCCATACTGTGGTATCAGATTCCTTCACCTGCATTAACATGTTTATCCTCCCTGCCCCTCGGTGAGGTGTCAGTACTATTACCCTTGTTTTAAAAGCCTCAGATAGGTTAAGTGACTTCCTCCATCTCATCCATGGAGTTCTCAGTCTGCTGAGCACAGCTTCATCCTTACTCTCTCATGGATCTCCAAGACAGCCATCAGGTTACTTTTGGTTTCTCTGTTATGAGATAATGCCATTTTATTGGAGTTTTTAAACAACTCCAAGGAAAATAATTCATTAACAGATGGGATAATAATTGAATTCACAACGTGAAAACTTAGGAGAGCTCTGGACATCTTTTCACAGGGGAATCTGTTGTTCTCTTATTTAGATTGTTTCTCTAAAGCTGACAATTCATTTTACATTAGCAAATGCTTTAGGGAAATCCCACGTGCTTGCAGCCTCTGCAATAATAAAGCTAGATGTTAGTAAATAGTTAATGTTGTGGGACACTGGGATATCAGCCAAATCATCTCATTTTCTTTAATGTTTTCTAAGAGCTTGTCTGAAAGGTATTTGCAAGGAACAAGATTGAACTTCACAGATTGAACTTCTTATGGCTGGCACTCCTCTTTGTCCTCATTCTATGTACTGCCCATGTGTCCTCCTTAAATTTGCTCCCCTGACCTGACATGTTACAGTCACTGCCCCCAGAGCTTTATTTATTTTCCTGATGCAGAAGCCTATAATCTCAAGACATTAATAGAATTCCTCTTCAAAATGACTCTGCTACAGTCTGTGCTCACTAGTTCATTAGTTCACAAAACATTCAGTTCAGGTATTGAATGATCCAAATTGCTGAAGCCAACATACCTGCTCCAAAAATTGAGACCTCCATCTCCTTCAATGGAGACTTTCACTGAGTTCTCATCACCTGAATCCTAATCAAAATTGCCTTCCTGGTTTAAACCTCTCTCCTTGGACTGGCTTCACCATCTTTTTCTCCTGACCAACTATTGTCTGCAGTCTCAACTAATCTTGGCTTTCTCTCATACTCTGCAGCTGGGGGCTGCTATCCACAGGGTCTGGATCCTTTCTTCTTTTCCTCTCAGCCAGTGTATCTTACCTTAAAACTACCTCTACTATCTCCAGTCTTGACAGGAAATAAATAGCTACTTAGGTTCGTTGCCGTTATTTATGTACACACACTTCTTGCTCTGAGTATGCACATGAAATGCCATTTTACTTCACTAAAGATGGTACTATTTATTTCTGCAGGTAGAACCATAAAGCTCTTTAAATCTTGTCCTGAGAAGTTTAGGTTCAAGCACATTAAGCAACATATATAATATGCTAATCTCTGTAATATATCTTGTCCACAAAAGCATATGTAGCAATTTGCAGCGCTCGGAGCCCTAAAAAACCTTGGAGCTCCTTATAAAGTATTACAAATGTCTAGCGAATTTAGCAACAAAACAAGCTGTTGCTTTACTCCATTTTCTGCATAAAGCTTGTGCTTCTACACCACTGGTAGCAGACATTTATGAGTAGCCCAGGGGGCTTGTATCTAACAAGACACGTGTGCAATAAGAAACAACACAGGGATTGGGCTTCAACTTCACGTAACAGCAAAACCCAGTGATGCAGCATGGCATGAAGGTCTACCTGTGCTTGTCCGCCTGAGTGCAGCGGGGGGTGCGACGAGGTCTGGTGATGTGCCTGGTGTGCGTGGAGGTGCGAGTGGGAGTGGTGGTGGGGATGGTTCTGCTGGTGGTGAGGCTGAGGGTGAGGATGATGTGCTGGATGCTGGTGCTGATGGGGATATGAGTGATGAGGTGGCAGCGTCTGGTGCTGATGAGGATGTGAGTGCATATGGTGGTGTGGCGTCTGGTCCTGCCGCGAGCTCATCATTTCCATCATGTGGCCCATGGTGTTCATATTCCCGTTGGACATGGCGGCAGGATGATGAGTCAGCGCTGCCTTCAGTCTCTGCAACAGAACAAGGCAGAAAATTCAACATTCATATGTGATGATCTCAGCGATCAAAATACAATTTCTGCTCTTGCAGAAACGGTGCCTTGCCCTGTGCTTTGAGATTTATTTAGGGTTTTTCTTGCTGTTCCCTGGATAAAAGACATCTTAATTCAGCTTGAGAAAGAACATGTTTTTGGGCTCTAATCTAATTTTCCACTATAAATATGTAAAGATATAAACATCTGAACTGAAATTTAACAGTTACACACTTCCTACTGTGCTGCTGAGGAAAAATAACTGGCTCTTATCCTTCTCTGTTTGGCCAGCTCAGTAGTATCAGCTTCACCAAGCTTGTATTCTTGCAACTTTTACAAAGCAAGGTCTGATTAAAATAAAGATGACACAAAGTTCCTCTCTTGTTTTTACTACAGATATTATTTAAAGGACTCATTCATAAATATATTTACATGTTTTTCAAATTCAGGCTCAAAAATGCTCTACAGTTGTACTAGCACCCATGATTTCCTTCATCAGAAATATGGGAAAATAATGAGGGTGATCTCAAATGGATCCTCTTTCTTTGCTGGGAAGTTCAACCATCTGCTGTGCTGTTATCACATGCTAATCCCTCTCCCTGTTTTGTACTCCTCATGTTTTGTATTATCATTGGATTGGGCCCTGGTGTCCTGTCCAGGGCAAAACTCTGCTTAACATCAACAGGATTCAGTCACTTTTACCTGAACGCCTGAACCAAAGGACAATTGGAAGCGCTGCCACATTTTGGCCTGCAGGATAGGGCCCTTGTGTACTAAAGTTACAGCTGAAATACAGAATAAAAAAGGTTCCCTTTCAGTGCAATTACAGGGTCATCCCAAAGCTGTGAGCTGTACTGGCATACAGGCACCTCACTGGTGTCATCCTCCCCTTGGACTACTGAAATCATCAGCGTCCTAAAAGAGTGTGCCAAAGGTAGAGCCTGACAGATGTCAAGTAGAAGAAGGGCTCCTTCCAAATCCACAGAAACCTTCATGGTTTTGCATCTTGCTCCATGAAGAACATTCTTTACAGGTGGCCACCCAAGACCTCCTCACTTCTTTTCATTTTTAAGAAGTCAGTGTAAGCTTGGATTACTCTCACTAATGCAAATAATTAGCAGAAAAAGGTAAGATAGAAATGGAAGGAAGGAGGTCCATGGTATAATTTGATGCCAGACTAGCATGATCTGAATATCCCATCATTATGCAGCCACAGGATATAATGGCTAGCAGTTAGCTCTTCAGTAAGAGATGCCACCTATAGGACAGCCAGCAAGAAACAGTGGTGATACAAGGAAGAGAGTTGTGCCTTTCCGCATAGCACTATCTGTGGGTCACAGATGAAGGTTAGAAGATCCTACAAGCCAATGTGGCTAAAATCTGCCAGTGGAGGAGCAATCACCAGATTGAACTGCATTTTATTCTTGTCTTTAAAGCAAAGAGAGTGACTGCCAGGATACTCAGAACCTATAGACAGGAATTTCAATTTACTTTATATTGAAATAACATCTGTCTGTGCCACTTCACTGCAAGGCCACAGATAAAGGCTCCTGTGTTCAAAGCTGCTACCCTATTGTGTTTGTGCACCTGGGAGTGAGGAAGAAACAAATTCTTCAGCAGAAAAAAAGAGGAAAATATTAGAGGAAAAATATTGTTGTGGAAGGCAAAAAGAAGTAACAGGGTCAATTCGAAGTATCATCCTCAAATTTTTGTATCCCATATGTTTCTGCAGACTTCATGAAGGTCATTCCACTGAGACACTCTAACAGATCTGTTGATCCAAATTTTGTGGCTTATTTCACCAATGATCAATTGGCTGAACAAGACTTCAAAAAAAAAAAAGAAAAAATATACATTTGCAAAACACATCAATGCCTCAGTCTGCATGAAGAAAAACTAGACTGATGACTTTTAAGGATCTTCCTTAAGAAAGTCTATCAAACACAACTACACTACACCATGTGGTCACAACCTGATGATCTTCTCAAAAAGAGACCGAGGCAACTATGGCAGCAAGGTTTAATACCTCCTTCCCTATCTCTAAAGTCAGAACAGAGCTCAATGCAACATCGGTATCAAAAACCCATCCTGGGTATAAAATAGAGGATTTGAGCAGCTGTTGTCCCTAAGGTTTCCAAATTCAAGCGCTACCCTAGTTACTGCAAGGAGCTCTTCATAAAGCTCAGAATAACTGGTGTTACCCAGGAGTGTATTAGGAAAAATATGGAAAACAACACATGAACAAGTCATGTCATTCTGCATGTCATTCTTCTTTGAAACTTGCTAAAATCTCTTTCATGGGGCCGAGCCACCACACAGATCTAAGCCAAAGCACCAACAAAAGCTGTTGTAACTTTGTTTTCTGAATCAAAATGCAAAAAAAACCAAACCCAAAAACCCCCAAGCTCTCACTAGCCAGCAGTTTTGTGTGATGAATACCTAACAAAATTTACTAATGCTGTATTTATCAAAGACCTCTGAAGCTGGACTACAGTGTGTCATATTCTAAACTGCAGACTTTCAAAGCCAAGTAAAAAAAGGAGGGAAAAACTGAATCTGTGAATAAACTTTTTTTTTTTCAGCTGTAAAAACGGTGGCTTATTAGTGTGGCGTGACTTCAAGGAGAATAAATTATTTTGTTTTCTTTCCATAGCCCCTTCTACCACATCCATTTATTTGAGATAGCAAATCAAGAGAGACAGTGAGAGGTCTGACATGCAGCTGGTTCCAGTCAATAGGGGTCATTTCCATTTGGTCTGTGTATTTTACAAGCTCCTTGTTCACTGTTCCCGATGGGAGGGTGGGCCAGCTGTCCTGGATCCCAGTCCTGGTAAGAAACCAGCTCTCTACCTCATCCTGTCCCAGCACAGCAGCAGCCATTGCCCGCTCCTCACCTCCCTTTAAGGTTGCGCTTGGATCAGCTCTGCAGCACACGCACCCAGAGCAACGTTTACTTTTCATTAACCAGTCACTGGTGCCCATCTGAAACATCTGGGGAATGAGAAACCTTTATTTTTCCGTTTGGTCTTCAGCGAGATCAATTGTTTTGGACGTTTTAGTTAGAGCACAGAGGGGGAGAAATTAAAACTTGATGAACTCTTTGCATTGAGTATGTGTAGAGCTGGAAGGGCAGGGCAGGCTGCTTTTCTGTTATTGTTCTTTTTATGTGAGCTAATTGCAAGCAGCTGTTTTAGTTTAGCATCAAATAAAATGTGATGGCATCAAAATTGAGCTTACTGGACTGACTGCAACAGCAAATCCCATCTAGAATGAAATTATGAGCCAGGACCTGATCCTGCAGCCACTCAGGTTTTCAGGAACGGTGTGACTGACTTCATGAGAGCCAGCAAGTATCTGGCAGTTCACAAACTGGGACTGAAACAGAGGACTCTGCGCAGATCCGCTCTCACACAAAAAAATTAGAGTAAATCTGCTAACCTCAGTGGCAGTGTTTTTTAGGGCACAATCCCACTTCTCTCCTTTCTATGGGGCAATTTTCAAAAAAACCTCGAGGTCCCCCTCAAGCCAAGAGGAAATGCAGGGGGCTCATCTTACCTGGGTTTTAGCCCTTAGTGAATATTTTTATAATTCCATCAAAGTAACATAGCGACCAACATCAGTTACAGCTGATTTCTACTCAGTCATAACATTTCCATCAATGGCTGTTACTGACACATACATAAGAAATTGTTTCACAGAGAACAGCCTGCTTTGCCTCTGATGGAGTGAAGCAAGAAAATTCACTTTCGATCCTACAGGAAGCTAGAAGCACATAAACTCCCATCTTTCATGCTTTGGAGGAAATAGAAACAGTTGATATTAATGTATTAGGGGATATAGAGTGTTGTGTTCCCTGTACCATTGCTCATGGTAATGCTCCTAACTGGCGTATTTACTCTGAAGCCACCCCAACAAATGTCATATGAAGTCAGCACCTCAGAGAAGTTATCATTGAACCTGGAATACTGGGGATGTTTTTGGAAAGGGTTTTCACAGTGTTTCCTCCACCTAAAGCCTGACATCACGGTGCAGTGAATTGCTTGATGTTTCTTTATATCAACACAGATAATAATTTATTCGCTGAACATCTTCGGGCAAACCCTAAGTCTGCCAAAAATGAGCTAGAAGCATTTGAGATCTTGAATGGAAAACAGTATCAGCTTCCCTAACGCTTCTGCAGTTCAGGACCTTGCTGCTTTCTAATTTTTCTCAAGGTTTTTCAGTATTGCCTTGAGTTTTGCCCCACATTTTTTCCCCAAAATTGATATTGAAAAATAGCCAGCATTTTTTTCAGTTTACTAGAAGGAAAAAAAAAAAAGCCAAAAACCTTTAAATTTGGAGGTTGCTTTTCCCACAACAAAAAACTCATATAATTTTAGGGTTTTATATGTATATAAATATTTATAATATTTATAGCATGTTATATTTATAGTACAACAGGCTATAAATATTACATTACATGCTTTAATCTGTATATTACAATAAACTACAACTTTCTCCCATTTATTTCTCAGTTGAGAAATGAAAAAAATCTCCAATTTTACAGTTGCTATTACCTGAGTGGTCTGTGCTCACATGAAACAATAAGCTATTATATCATCCAGCTGAATTTTTAGGTTGGGACAGACATGCTGTTCTGGTTTGGAATAGGACTGAACTGTTCTGAATAACTATGCATTGCTGCACTCAGAAAAAACTCTCTTCCCCTTCTGGTCTGCATGCCCAAATACCAGTAAATGAGAGAGGAGACAAGACCAGCTGTAGTATCAGCTTAATGTCTGGTATATTCTTATCAGGAGATTATATCAGGCCCCTGCAGGCCCATGGAATATGATCTCAAAGACATTTTCTTGCACTAGTGCCTGTGATTCTAGTCCCTATTATACAAGGGTGTTATAAGTTCCCTGCAGGGGACAGAAGAGACTACAGAGGCATTGGAAATTAAAAAAAAAATTAAATTAAAAAAATACAGATATCAAGCATCCTCACACATCTGCAATTAGGTAGCAACCTCAAAAAATCTTGATTAGCCAAATTTCATGGCAAGCATACCATTGATTTCAGTGGCTCTAATATTGTTTTCTCATTCATGATGGTCAAGTTTTCTTTATATACAAGTGCTTCTCTCATCAGCATACCCAAGAAGCTAAAGCTGAGAACAGAACTTCACCCAGCGTATTTCATAGCATCACACTGAATTTTATCCTTCCCTCCAACTACGACTGCGATGAGAGAACTTAAGCGTAAATGTCACTCAGGTCTTTTATAGTTGGCTGCTTACAAGCATTTCACAGTGTAAATAACAGAAATCACTCTTTGCAAATGTTCCACTCGCATTCATAAAAGCAAATTGGAGGTGATTCATCTCCACCCAGTAAGTGAGCGGCAGATACTTAAGAGAATCTGCACATTTCGGAGACCAGCAATTAGAAAGTCTCTGATGCCACATTGAATCTTGCTCCTACATTTCTTGTGCAATAAAATACAGTCCTCCATACTGACTGAAGCAGTGAGAGGTGTGCAAAGGACGTGAAATCTAGAACTGAAGTGACACATTACACTAATGTAAAGAGAAAAGGGGGATGCATTTAATTCACAACTCGCCAGTAAACAGTGCCAAACTGCTAATCTTCTAATTATTCTCAGGCTGTTTGGCAAATCTGAATTATACTTCTCCCTTCCTTTGTGCTTTCTTCCCTACTTAGTCGGATTTTGTAACAATGTGAACAATGGATCGCCATCCAGCCTTCAGCGCAGCTCAGCCTCTAATGAAAACAACGAATTTGCTCCCTTGTCCTTCCAAGCACAAACAGAAATAAACTTGAGCAGAAAGCAGCAAGAATCAACTGCAAACAATCACAGCGGCAATAAAAGTAATGGACATCACGCTGCTCAAGGACGGGTCAGCCACAGGAACTGCTTCACTGTCCCTGAACTCAGGGCACGGAGGACCTCCGAGCAGCCACGCTTGCCGGTGACATCAGTCGCAGTGACACCTCTCCGGACGGCTGCCAGTTTTAGGTAATACAATGCAGGTGGCAGCCAGAGTGGCCCAAGGGTACACTGCCAAAACTGCCATCCTCTGGTGACAGCATTTCACTGGGAACGGCCACAGTGCCAGGGACAGCAGAAAAACACGAGTGAGTCTACATCTCATCTCCACCCTGCAATTTCCTTCTGTTCATCTCACAGCACCTTGCAGAGGAGATAAGCATCCTTACTCTTGTGCAATGCCCCACCTGTTACAGGATTAGAAAGAAGAATACCAAATTCTCCATTCCTATTCTACACACATTTTTAATGACCAAGTAAATCAAGATACACTGAAAGTACGGTTTGTGCTTCTCACTATATACTATTTCTTGCATGAATCATTTCTCAATGCAGTGTTAAACAACTGGATTTGATTTTGCCCAGGAGTCAGGAAATGTAAAGTTCAAAGAATCAAACCCCTAAGTCCCATCAAGTCTAAGTCAATCCCTGCATGTGTGTCCATGACAAGGGATATTTAATTATGTAAACACACAACAGACAGCAATGTGATTTATTACTGGCAAACGGTGTCATATAATTTCAACATACAATACCAACGGAAGGATCCAAAAAATACAACCAACTTCTGCCTGATTTCTCCTCTGTGTGCCAGAGTCCAAAAACAAAGCTGCTACTTAGCTGCTACCTACCCCTGGAGAGGCAGGTTCCTGACAACAAAATGTCTGACACTTAGGGGATTAATTGCCTGTGCCTGCTATCAGTGGGCAGGCACATAACTAATTGCCATCCTAATTCTCCAAATAGATCATTTTTGCTTAGTTACTCTGCCAGATTCATCTGTGGGATATTCCCATGCATGCTACATTGTCACTTGTGGAAAACATAGAAAAGGGCAATAAAATCACTCAATGTTACTAGCACCCTGCAAGGAAGTGAGAAAACTCAAGAGGACTTAAGTTTGTACTACCCATTTTCCAGATCTGTTCTCTAATTCCTGTATTACAGGCTCATTATATTTGGCTCATTCCTGAGCCAAAAGACCACAGGCTTTTTCTTCACATTGGACATAAAACACTTTGGCAAATTCTCTGACAAAGGGGCTGGAGCTCAGGACTTTCCTCACTCCCACAAGCAAATGCTCTAATGAAGTTTCTAAAATCATGTTCCCATCTTCTAGTACAATGCCAGTGGGAAGTACTTGTACAGCACTTGCATTGCTATATATATAGACATATATATAGCTATATATATAAATATATATCTCTTGCCTGAGCATAAAATGAACATTTATGAATGTATTAAATGAGAAAAGTAAGAATTAATTTCAGAGGAAGTTTGGGGAATTTCCTATACAAGCCAGATACGGAGGAAATTCTAAAATCAGAGCACTCGTTAACACTGGAAAAAATGCTGTGGGTTTGGGTGCTTTAATCCGTACTCAAAGATCAGACGGGATTAGCACCGGAAAAATCTCTCTCTGCAGAATACTGCTCTGAAGCCTTGAGACCCCTTATGGAGTGACTCCAGTTTCTTGCTGAGGATGCAAGTTGCTTGCTTTCCTTTTCCCTCTCACAAACATAATATATACACCAAGGACATGAGAAAGGCAGGTTCAAAGTCTCTGTCTGTCAGAAGATTTCTGAGCTTTCATCGCCCACCTCTCACTAAGGCTGATTATGACTGAGTCATTCATATTCAAAGAAAAATGCCATCCAAGTACATAAAACTTGGGTGTAGTTTTTTTCCCTTCGCTGGTGTGATTTTTGAATACTCGTTTTTCCTGGATTAAACCCAGCACATGTAAAGGGCTACTCGCAAGCCAGAAATGGGATAAATGTGCACTTAAAAGTGCTTTCATTTCATCCCAGATGTGTGGTGCTCAAAGG